CCCGTCTCTGGCCGCAGTACTTCCCCTCGACTATACAAGCCACTTGAATAGGATGAAATCAATTGCGATACCAAAGGAATTTCAAGGTCTCCCAAAGGGATACAGGTGATTTTGCTCTTCATAAGAATCAATAGGCGAGAACTAATTCAAACACCCATCTTCGTTGCACTGTTCCCTAACGTTTGATGAAATCAACTGCAGTGATGAGGGACCTGCTCTAAGAGTTTTCGACGCTTTCATGACGTCCTTTTCTTCTGGTTCACCAACTAAACACCTTCGCCTTGGTTTTTGATCGCGAGGTAAGCATCACGTCGGCTATCGGGGAATGTACCTATCAGGAAAAATGGAAACGGTCGAAGTGGCCTTGGCACGGCTGTCCGCGCGCTTTTGAGCCAGGAGAACGGGGCATCTGCGATTCCAGTGTAAATCGAGCCCTTGACACCTTGTAAATGGAAATTGACACAGAGTTTATTCTTCATTTTTTTCAGTGATCATAGGAGCCAAGTCTTACCAGTGTCAAGCTTTCGTTGAATAATTCGGGTACCCGACAGGAGGCCCGTCGCGCGGCAAGAAGGCAGAGTCAGCGGACGAGTCGCAGCGCGTACTGTAGGATTTCGCGTCAAGTTAAATAGAATGTACCATTGCACGTCCTACATCGCACATCACGCGCTGCGACTCGACTCTGCCTTCTACCAGGGTGAATAACGGTCGAGGATTTCCTCGACCATAGCTCTCTACCATGCGAGAGTAGTGCCGAGAGTGAACATCCGCGCGGAGAGCACAGACGGCACGCGCATGGCGAGTGTGAATGTCCGCGCGAGAGATCGTCTCTGATCGGGCAGAGAATCCTCGACGTGCCGTTGAGGAATCCTCAAGCGATATTCACCCTGCTTCTACCGCGCGACGGGCCTCCTGTCAGGTACACATAATTCTTGATGGGAATTCGTTCTTTGTCTACGATAAACAAACACAACATTGGGTATAATCAGAAGTGCATTGGTAGAAAGTAGAGACGTATAATATCTTAGGCTTTTGAAGGATGGCTAGAATTTTTCTTTATAATTTTCCAGGAGAATAATAGAAACATACCAAAACTTTGTTTTTTTTACTGTTTCGGCTCTTGTACAAATTTGCAGTAGTAATCTCTAGTCATTTGGTATATGTTGAGGCCTTTCTGTTACTCCAGAAAAATCCTCTTAATATTTTTATTTATAGGGTGTGACATTCATGGCGTTTGGCAATGGAGCTCCAGATATTTTCGGATCTATCGCATCAGTTCTCAGCAGCCCTAAGCCTAAGGCGGGACTGGCTCTTGGGGAACTTCTTGGTACGAGCTTTAAATTTACACATGCAGTTTTCTTCA